TAAAGTACAAGTTTCAGGTGGGGGTGGTTAGTTTTCTCGGGCAAGACGATCAAATCCTTGTCTGAATTCCTTGGAAAAATAATTTGTCTTTTTACAAGGGTACATGGAGTTACAATAACTGTCCTTTGTGAACAATTTAAGACTTCTCTTCACTTGAACCTTCAAGCAAATAGCAAAACGGTAACATTTATTTCTGTGTGTATCAGAACGCATTATACTTGTGCTGTCTGGATAGCACAATTTGAGGGACAAATGAAGAGGCAAAGAGATTTCATGCATTCCAGTGATGTATCTGTGGTTGTCCATGGTTGTCCATGGCCTGGTATACTAATTACCCTCCTTTTCTTTGCACTCTGTTCTCCAGTTGCATCTGTTTTCAAGGAGTTCAGCTACTGACTCTTTGGCATGCTCCATTCATTATTTCAGTTTTGTTTCTAATGCTGCAGTCTTTTGAATTTTGGCACTCTTGTGTTTTATCCAAGATCTTGTTATTTGCATTGATTTTTCTAGGCCCTGTGCAGTATTCTTGCTTTTCTGTCTGCAAACTGCAACTTGAGTTTCTCATGCACTTGCTGTAGAGGCTGTCCTTCAGTTTGACCTCCAGAAAATTAGAGTTTCAGGTCAGGGCTTAGATGCAGTCATAGATGTGTCACCCACATATTTGTTTCTATGCATAGGGGTCCATTTTCACTTTTAGTTTTGTTTAGAAGCCTCTCTGTTCTCCAGAGCCAAAACCCCAGAAGTTTGACTGCATAAAGCTCTTTCTTCTCTTTTAGGAGAAACTAATGGAAGTCACAGATATGGATACAGTGAACTAGGAATCATTTTAAGTTAAAACTGAAATTTACTTGACTAATTATTGCAGTTGCAGTGCCAGGTGGTTTGTTGGGTTTTTTTTTTAGAGTTATCATTTCTGAAGAAAATGTTGCACCTCTGATTTTTTACAGGGCACCACTGCTATAGTACTGTTCAGGATTGTCCTTCAAGAAAAAAAACAGTGAGTGGTGTACATTTGCCACTAAACTTAATGATTAAAGCACATTTTCACAGAATCACAGAATGTCAGGGATTGGAAGGGACCTTGAAAGATCATCCAGTCCAATCCCCCTGCCAGAGCAGGAACCTAAATGAGATTACACAGGAAGGCGTCCAGGCGGGTCTTGAATGTCTCCAGAGAAGGAGACTCCACACCCTCCCTGGGCAGCCTGTCCCAGGGCTCTGTCACCCTCACTGGAAAGAAGTTTCTTCTCTAGTTTAAGCGGAACCTCCTGTGTCCCAGCTCACACCCATTGCTCCTTGTCCTGCCATTGGGCATCACTGAGAAGAGCCTGGCTCCATCCTCCTGACATTCACCCTTTACATATTTGTAGACATTAATTAGGTCTCCCCTCAAGTCTCCTGGAATAGGAAGTCTTTACTGGGAATAGGAAGAATGTCTCCTTTAGTACATCTGTGTGTCATTCAGGGAAGTTGAGGCTTCCAGAGTAGAGGACTGGCTCTGCCTCCCACTATGAGACTGCAGTTTTCTAAAGATGATTGCAGAAGTGTGCGGCCGGGTTAAGAAGGGGCAGAGGAAGAGTAGTAAAATTATTTGGAGAGTATGGGTCATAAGATGAGGACTCCTGTTTAAGAAGATGACTAAAGAAATACAAGAGAGGGCAAAATGGAACCACATTCAGAATCTGTTGCTTTGTTACTTGCAGACTGTTCTGGGGCCGACTTCTCTCTTCAGCGTTATTACATCATGAAGCCGCGCTGTAACTTGGGCCCTTGCACTGCTATAGGTTAATCTGCTCCGCCTACAGGGTTATACGCTTAACTAAAGGTGTCATTCCAACTTAATCACTATTAGTGCACAAACCGCCTCATCAAAGAATTAAAAACATACTAGTGATAGGTAGGCACTGATGTGTGAAAGATTTTTTTGTAGATATGGACTGAAAAACAACTGTAAAAGATACTTTTAGGTGGAAGGAGGCACAGCTTTCTTATGTCAGCCTTTGTGTGTGTGTGTCATCCCCCCTTCCTTCTTTTAAAGCTAAGACTTTTTTATTTTTTTTAACTAAAACTCTAAATTCTTCATGTTTTAGCCACACATAAGGGTGTGGGGGGAGAAGTAGCAGGTAGCCACTAATTTATCAGAATTCACAGATTAATCATATTAAACTCAAATTTGAAATTCTGGAAGAACTGAAGGTTTAACACATTCATCCCATCCAGAAGTAAACTGTGCTTTCCCTTTGGATACAGAGAGGATTTTGAAAACCTAGCCTACCCTCCCACAGGTTTAGACTGGCGTTCTGGTGGAAGCATGATGAGCTAGAGTGTTGCAAGGAAGGCAGTTGCAGTCTGTTATTGCTGTTTTCGGAAGGTGACTGTGCTATGGGCTGTGAATAATTCCCTAAGTAGAAGTTATGTGACCACATTGTGGTTATCCTGTCTGGTTGTGTTCGCATCTACGGTGGGTCGCTCGCGCTCTTGAAGAATCATGTGTGAACATCTCACCTACAAGGCTTAGTTTAGACTAGCAACAGCTTTCAGTTTACCTTCCGGGGAGGGATAAGGCAACTTGATTTTAAATGGAGAGTGGATTTGTTAATTTGTGAAGTGTGCTAGCAGTTCTGTATGAGTTGCTAGAACTACATACCGCCTGTTTGTATGTATTTTTAATTGTGGTTTACATGACAAACTACTGAGAGGGAAGAACAGCTTACAAAGCACAACTCTGAACGTTGTGTACGTAGTAGTGTGAGAGATTAGAAGGAAAACTGCCTTGTTTGTCCAAATTCGACAGTGCTTGTAGTCAGTTTAACTGTATCCTGTTCTTTATGCTTTTCACTTCTATTTTAAACACAGTAATGATGTAAAATACTTCATAAAAATGTGATACTTGCCAGGGCAGTTTCTGCTTTTTGAACTGTGAATTAAGGTAAAATAATTGAATGTCTGCATTCTTTTTTATGATCTCTTCAACAATAAGAAAGTGCTAGGCATTAGCTTAAACTCTGCTGCTGTCATGGAATGAACAAAAAGTCTATTATTCTGCAAAATAATTCCCCATTTGATTTATGGCAGCGTTCTGTAATTATTTTGATCGCTCTGACTTCACTAGAGTTGCATGTGAAGATAAAAAAGTCTAAGTCATATTTTTTTCCTAGCAACTGCAGTAACGTGAACCTCATGCGTGTGCTTAGGATACAAGACCAGCGTACGCTGTATTTTGTTGGCTAGTTACAGTTTGTGTGGGCATCAGTATTTTGTGTTCATTTGAGAAGAGACAGAACTTAAGAGCGGGGCTTGGGGCGAGAGGAAGCAGAGGTGTCCTGCTGCTGACATCTCTCTCCATACAGCTGAAATATGTGCAGCTCTTGTTTTTCTTAGCAAAGCACGTGAGCCAAAGAGTGTATATCCAGTCCCTATGCCTCACGTTTGAATCACTGTTGTGGTGAGAGCAAATATAAACATTTCTTGACTGTTTATGCTAACATGTACGGATGTTTTGGAAAGGCTGATAGTGACTAGAAGAGAAAATGTGAAAAGTTTTCTTGGATATGTAGTGTCAGTTATAGCTGGAGCTATATTGCAATAAAAGGAAGTTACCAAAAAGTGATGTTACCACTTAGAAAACTGATCAAATGTACTCCACATACAAGTTAAAACCTTCTGAAACACCTAGTGTACTGACTTTTCTGCTAGTGCAGCTGTTTAGTTGGGGCCTCGGGTAAAATCTGTTTCAGAGACTCTTCTCAGAGTTAATTTTTGTCCACTGTCTTCAAATAGAAAAGCTCATAGTCTTCTTCCATTACCTTGTATTGTATAACAGCGATTTGCACGCTCTTTGATGCTTCCCAGGGCAGAATTTGCAAGTATGTAAAATGTGTGACCTATTTTGTATGATTTAGTAATAATGAATGCACAAATAAACTGATGTGGATTAGAGGGGTGGGTTGGGTGGTTAGGGTGTGAAAGCCATGAAGATAAACCAGTCAGTTTACACTGCCTGCAAATATAATTTTTATTCTCTTAAGCATGAATATTTGCTGCATCATATCCCAATGATGGGAGGTGGAGGAGGAGGAGGAGAGGGTGTGCAGTATATTGGTCTGGCTTGAATAAGGAAGCATGAATTTAAAATACTTGTGATTTTATTTCCAAACAGATTTCCTTAGACTTGTCAGGGGCAGTTGTCTTTCAGTGAAGCATGAATACATTAAGGTTTTAAGTAAATCTGCAGCACAGACATCGGAGAAGCTTGCTGCGTAATTTAACTGAAAACCTAAGGATGAGCTTTCAGAAGATGGCTGAGCCAAACTAATGGCTTGCCACTGCCTAAAGGGACAGCTGCTGTGTTCCTTCTGAGTCCTGCTCCTAGTTACCCAGCGTTGCCTCTTCTTTTTTGCAGACTCTGACGTCATCTTGATCATTCAGATCATTTTATCTATTTAAAAAAAAAACAAAAAACCAAACACCACCAACCAAACAAAAAACCCTGAACCTCCTCCCCTAAAAGAAAACCTAATCAGTTTGCTTTTGTTTCCCCATCACCACTGGAGTGTGAGCAGGACTTTGTGGCCAGCAGGTAGGGATCTAGGGAATGTCACTGTCCTGGAAACATTGAATTCTTTCATTGGCTCAGTAATCGCAGGGAACATCGCTATTCAGATGTGTGCCAGTTAACAAGTCCTCTTTCAAACTTGTTTCTTATGTACTTATGCTAGAGGCTTTTGTCAGAACCATGAATGATAGTGGAATGTAAGTTCTTCAAGTAATACAGCTGAAAATACTTACAAATATCTGAAAACTGCAGTTCAGCTAGTAGCAGTGTCCTTGTTTAAATTAGATGAAAGCAATGCAAATTTGACTTGAGAGGGACGCAGGAAAGTCAGCTTTATATCTGTGTATATTTGTGTATTATTTAATAGCTTCCAATAAGATTTTTAAACGAGAGATGTTTAAGAAATATCTTAATAATCCTTTTTTTTTTTTTCTTTTTAGAACTTAAGGAAAGTCATCATGGGAGCATTTTTAGACAAGCCAAAGATGGAGAAGCATAATGCCCAGGGGCAAGGGAATGGGCTTCGTTACGGTCTGAGTAGTATGCAAGGCTGGCGAGTTGAAATGGAGGATGCACACACGGCTGTGATTGGTTTGCCAAATGGACTTGATGGGTGGTCGTTTTTTGCTGTATATGATGGGCACGCTGGATCACAGGTTGCCAAGTACTGCTGTGAGCATTTATTAGATCACATCACAAGCAACCAGGATTTTAAAGGGCCAGATGGGCCACCATCTGTGGAAAGTGTAAAGAGCGGCATCAGAACAGGTTTTCTGCAAATCGATGAACACATGAGAGTCATCTCCGAGAAGAAACATGGTGCAGACAGAAGTGGGTCAACAGCTGTGGGTGTCATGATTTCTCCCCAACATACATACTTCATCAACTGTGGAGACTCGAGAGGTTTACTTTGTAGAAACAGGAAGGTTCACTTCTTCACACAGGATCACAAACCAAGTAATCCACTGGAGAAAGAGCGTATCCAGAATGCAGGTGGCTCTGTAATGATTCAGCGTGTGAATGGCTCTCTTGCTGTTTCAAGGGCACTCGGGGACTTTGATTACAAATGTGTCCATGGGAAAGGTCCTACAGAACAGCTAGTCTCACCTGAGCCTGAAGTTTATGAAATTGAGAGATCAGAAGAAGATGATCAGTTCATCATACTGGCTTGCGATGGTATCTGGGATGTTATGGGAAATGAAGAGCTGTGTGACTTTGTAAGATCCAGACTTGAAGTCACTGATGACCTTGAGAAAGTTTGCAATGAGATAGTTGACACCTGCTTGTACAAGGTAGCCAGACTCAAGAGAAGTAGTTTACTGTGTTTTCACTATTAGTTTATGAGCAAGTTTAAGAATAAGTTTTGATTCTAGTTTTTTAAGTATCCAGTGGTTTATGTTAACCTGACCTTGACAGCAATTACCATGATTCCCACAAAAATAGTGATAGAGGGGTGGGACACAAACACTCAGTGGAAACAGGATTGCTTTCTGGATGGTTTTGGTTAATGAAGAGTTTAAAATCATGTACAAATACATAGTGAAAACTGGAAAACTAGAAGCTGATGGGAATTTATGGGCAAACCAGTGACAATAACTGCCCTTTTCTGTTTCACAGCACACTTTTTACAAAACCTTTGCTCTTAAAGACAATCAGGCTAGAGAATATTTTTTCCCTTCCTAATCTTCCTTTCTTGGGCATATAGTAGCAACATTACTGTCAAAATTACACCAAAATAAATGCAGAATGAACTTTGACTTCGTATTTTGCAGTTTAAAATTTCTTCTTGAATATATGAAGGTCTGACTTCCTAAGTTAGTTTTTATGAAGATCTGACTTCCTAAGTTAGTTTTTTTTCTGGTTTAATTACTGTATTTCTTACTCAGTGTTGTGTGATACAGCTCTGACACTAGCTCGGGTAGAGGAAGACAGGACTCTTGTTTAACAAATCTGTAATTTTGTCTACAATAACTTCTGCTTTGTATTAATAAGTTGCAGGATGGTGCAGTTACAGAAGAGATTTGAAGTACTGAGTTTTGTAGCTTGACACTTAATTTTCCAAAGGCAAACTATAAGTCATAATGTAAAAAAACCCTTTTTTTATACTAAAGAGACAAGACAGCATCTCTGCTTTTACCACGTGGTTAACAAGGCCAGTGTTTCCCTTTAGGAAAAATGTGATTGATTTCCAACACTTCAGCAGGTTGATAACACATATATAATGAGTTTGTATTTTAATTTATTCAAGTATTAGGGTTCTGTTTAGTTGGGAGTTTGAAATGTTTCCATTTCAGAGAATGCTTTTGTAAAGGCCTGGGCCCTTTTCAGCTGGTCTTTTAACAGTTTATCTCACTTGTAACTTCTCTTGTTTTAAAAGAAAAGGGGAAAAAACCCCTGTGATGTTTAGGTGGAAGCACTCTCTGAATTCAGCATCTCCCTGCTTAGTGCTTTTAAGCAGTAATGGTTTTGTTTACCGATCTAATATTCAGCTGTTTTCACAAAGTGATTGGATAGTACTTAAAACAAGATGGAACACAACTTTGTAATTACACATCACTCATTAGTAATGTCAGTTTTTAAAAGACAATGGGCTGTCTGTAATTGGCTCCAAGTAGTCTTCAGACCATAAAAGAGGAAAGAACAAAGTGACTTAAAACAGTTGTACTGAATGAAAGGGCAGATTTCTGGAATTGTGTAAGAGGGTGGGGGGCAATTAAAGCTAATGATAATATCAATCCATAGTAGAAGTTGTATTCTAATACCATATGATTTTTGAGTTTCTGTGTGCAAAATGCTGTGATGTGTATTTGGCCTGGTGTGTATATGTTCTCAAATCATTTTCTCTTTTCCACCAGGGAAGTCGAGACAACATGAGTGTGATATTGATCTGTTTTCCGAATGCACCAAAGGTATCGCCAGAGGCGGTGAAAAGAGAGGCAGAGTTGGACAAGTACCTGGAAAGCAGAGTAGAAGGTGGATCATTTAAAAAAAAATAAGTAACTTTGTTTCTAAACAGACCCCCTGGCCCCCTTCCCCTTCCAACAACTAAACTCTTAACACATACAGGCTTTTTAATAGACCTTTAAGTGCCATTGGCCATCTAGTGTACATCTCTGAAAAAGGCACTCGTATAGTCCTGCTGTATGTCCTGAAAAAATTCTGCTATGAAAGTGCAACAGCCTGTAGCCCTGAAAATTATTCAGAATGGCAGAGAAAGGATTCATTTGTGCTCAGTGTTCTTCATGAGTCCATTGACAGCGCTAATTTCCAACCAGAACCATATAACTGGTTCCTGTTATATGCAGTTAAATTAAATAATCAGAATATTTTGCAAAGTGTCTGTGAAGATGGTAATTTGAGTGCCATTTTTCCATATAGTTGTGTACAAATCAGTTAGCCATAATATTATATTATCCAATTATGGTAGGGTTATAGCTTGATTACTGTCATCTTTAAGGCATTTGGTAACATATTTACTTATTTGAAAGTACATCAGAAATTTGTCAGAGCTCATCTTCAAGCATTCATGATGAACAAAAACTGTGAGTTCATCTTCCTCTGATAATAACTTTAAAAATTTGCTTTTAAATTTGTATTTTGGCAGTTCTTAAACTTTAAACTGAAACTGCAAGTCTTAGGCATTTTGGGTCACCTAGCTGAAAAAGATATTTGAAATCAATTTGATTTAAAAGATTTTTCATTAAAACTAGATTTATATTGCCTTTTGGTATTTAAAAATGAACACAGCTTGGAGTTTTGTTCCTGGAACATAAGACAAGCTGTATGCATTATTGGCATAGGTTAATTCTGTTTTTGAAGTGGACTCCTCTAGACCTATATGTTACGAGTCTAGTTATGTGTATATACTCCAAAAATCCTTACTAGCACACAGGGCACAATACACAAGAGTTCTTCACAACTGTGGTATCAGTGATTAGTAAGTTAGAGGAATATATTGTGCACTTTTTTTTTCCTCCTTAACTTGCATGAAGATGACACAGTGCAGCTTCAGAAATTTCCCAGAGGACTTGCCTACATGGGAATTCTGGGTTCAGACAAATTAATGTGCGATTTTGAAGCACTTACTACCTGTGTAAGTTCTCCTTCAGAAAATACCACCTTTTTCCAAGGCCTCATTCCCAGGGACTTGACAAACCACACGTGTTCTGCCCCTGAACAAATGTCCAGACAGACTTTTCTGTGTTTTAATCTAACACTTGCCTAACAGGAGAAGTTGGTGCACAGTGAGCAGTAGTGTGAATCTTTTTGACAGCGTAGCAGGAGTATCCAAGTGCACGGTGACACTGCAGGAGTTACATGTCAGATGGCTTTCTCCATTTCAAAGCAGTGAGCAGTTTTGCACCAGGTGTTTGAAGAGCTTACTGTGTGTGCCCACTCACAGAACGGGTGAACAAGTGTGCTGTAAATTCACATGTTAATTTACAGCATACTAACTCTCCTAATTTGGGCAAGTATTGCCTTCGTATCTTAGATATTTTGTCTGAGTTCAGACAAACCCATGACCTAGAACATGAAAATATGTTCGAATTAAGGCTGCATCTTCAGCTGGCCTCATTGTACCCCAGGAATTACAACGAGGAAAGCTGAAATTTTTGTACAGACACTTCATTTTGTAAATGAAGAACCTAAACACTGGAACTGCATGTGATTGTGGTACATACAATTAATATGGCTGCCAGTACTTTGCATAAATACAGAATTTCAGGAATGAGCGAAGTATGATACTTCTGTAGAGGCAGAAGGATTCTGTATGTAGTTAGAAAGCACTTTAATACTGATTTAATGGGAAGATGTCTGAATAACTTGAGGAAACACATTGTACTTCCCCTCAAGGATCTTTGCTTCTTTTTTAGAGTTGTTCTCAATCTTTTGTCTACTGTTGCACAAAGATACTATTTAAATTAATGAATATGTAGTAAACACTATTCAACCCAGCAGTGATTTGTATCAGCTGTGTGCAGAATTTGACCTTTTAGGTCTTACTCTTGAGGGAAGTTGAGAGGCTGAACTAAAGCAGAACTTCAAGAACAGGAGTCTATTTAAACTTTGTTACATTTAACATAATTCTTGTGCAATTAAATTGTTTCTTGTAAATGGATAATGCAGTACTGACTAGTAAGATAGGACTGGTACAGCATCTGAAACTTTCAACACTACAGTGAATAATCTTGCTGCTATCCTAGGATACTTTAAGAATGGCAGTGCTTAACTTTAAAGCCTAACCTTCAGCTGGAGGAACTAGAAAATGTAAAGAGTACTTTTAGAATGAACTTACTAATCTGTAATATCAATTTAAAGTTAAAATTCATTAAAATGGAAACTTGGTGAAAATGCATATTATGTACTTTTATGCACTTCAGTACTCAGTGAATCCAACAAGTATTGAGATTTCCTTACTAATGTGGGTTTTTTCTGGTTGTACTTTTACTCCCTCAGCCCAGAGTATATCTTTATATTGCTAAGCAGTAATGCAAATTTTAAGGTTGAACAGGGCTTAGTACTGATGGTCATCTTGAACAAGGAGAGGCAATTCAAATTTTAAAAAACCTAGAAAGCTTACTACTTACCCTGTAGGACTCTCCTTTTATTAATTTTGATGTGTTTGTGGTCCAGAATTGTAGCTCCAATAAATAACAACGGAAGAAGCAAGTGTGGAGAAGCATCTTTGTGCCATTACTTGCAATAAATCAGTGTTGCTCCTAAAATACATGTGAACTCCATGGTAGAAGTAATCAGTCATTCCAAAATGCGTTGCTACTATTTGCACTAATATGTGTTATTGATGTGTTGACTCTGAAAAGAAACTTGTCTAAGCTTTTTTTTCTGTTCTCAGTTTTTTACATAAAAGCATTCCATACTAGATGATCCTTGCTATATTTATACCTATAGAGAGATAAATAATTTTAAGTTAGCTCTTACATGTTCCTTCTCATATTTTCACAAAATCAAAGCTCTGGCTTTTTCTTAAACTTTGTGTGGAATTCCCATCCAGAATATGAAAAAGCAGATATGTTTTGAATCCTTTATTTTAGGATTTTAAGTACATTTTTCCAGTACTTTATGCCATGAAAACGTGTAGAAGGTTTAAAAGTAAATTAAAGGTTGGGGAGACGGTTGTAAGATGTATTGAAAGAAGATAATTCCAATAAATTAAACACAGCTAGCAGACTGACTCCATTTGTTGTGTCTTCAGTGTTCATTCAGTCTGTATCTATAGTTCTATCAAAATATTAAATGTATTCATTTAGTGGAGACTGTATGTTAAATGTATTGCAGTTACACATTGTGAAACTGTGTAGAGTAGGTGAACTATAAATTCCTTATTTTTGTACAGCAGAACTTTAGTACTAGCACAATGTAGAATATACTAGATGTTCAAAATTGCACAATAAAGAAACTTGGCAAACCAAATCTGAGATCTTTGCTTCTTATTCAGATTTAAGAGTGTTAGATTATTTTATTTACTAAATATTAGATGGTAAAATGAATTTTGGCTATAGAATTTTGAGGAAATGGCAAGTTTTTGAGGTGTCTGTGGTGTGTGGTGTTATGTATTTAAAATGTAGGTTTCGAAGTAAACAGCTTAAAGCTTTGCGTTGCAGAGTTTGGCACTGGTTGAGGGCTAGACAGTGTTTCTACTGTACCTTGCAAATAATTTACACAGCCTGACTGCAAAATAGAGCTGATGCTTTTTGTAAACACACACAGCCCTGAAAAACTATTACATGCACAAAAAGTCATTCACAATTTTTTTATTTTTGCTAAAAAAGGCTGGATACATGTTGGTTTTAAAAGCTTTTGATGTGCTTTATCTCACCAATTAAATTATAACATGGAAAGTTGGTATGCTCTTCTGGAATTATCATTTAGGGCAAAAACTGAATGCTGAAGTATTTTTTAAAAGTGATATTGATGAATTCCAACTACTCTTCAAGCTGTGTAAATGCTTTATTACATGAAGAATAATGTGCGTGTACATATGTGCATGTATATAACATGCACATATGTACACATTATTGTATGTGTGCTGCAGTATTCACTTGAAGATCAACAGCCCCAAGTCTTAATAATTCATATACCTTATAATTTCTAAGAGCTCATGTTTACAGAGAAACCAATGAGATGCATTTTTAAAAAAAATGTGCTTTTTTTTTAAATTTCATAAAATCCCTATTTAAAGAGCAACTCTTGAGGGGTGGTATGGTCTGAAATCTTGAGTTCAAATAAAATTGTGTGCTTACAACTTGGGGAAAAAAAGAAAAAAAAAATCAACAGGCCTAAGAATAAAGAGTGAATTTCTTAGCAAATGTGACTGTGGCTACAGTACAGATTCTCTTCAGCCAGAAGTTGGAGTGGATCAGCTTTAAATAACTGCCCAATATTCGCATATCCCCTAAATGAGCTGAGGCTGGAACTGTCTCTTAGATGTGATGTCCCTGGCTTTTGATTTGGATGTAATGGTTCTTAAAATTTGCATGTTGCTGTGATGCAGTGAGGTACAAGTATTGGCTAATACACATACAGCCATGGGAATTATTTTTAATGTGTCTAACCTTTTGTTTCTTTAAAATATTATGCTTTCTATGATGATGATAATCTTCTATCTTCTGTTGCAGCAATAAAGCTGATGTTAATATCTGCCTCATGCCCAGCACCTTTTGTTGGGAAGATATTACATCTTGTATTATATCTAAAGTATAGCAGGAAAGCCATTAAAGATTTTTTTTCCCCACTTTTATTAAGTATCTGTGTAGTTCTAAAACCAGTGTGCATGTTAACAGCAGTATGTCTTTGTCAAATCTGTTACAGGTTCTTTTTCTTATGGAACCAAAGTTAACAATTACCGTGTTGAATATGGTCTGTCATCTTTATACATATATATATATATTAACAGAAGTTAAGCTGCCTTTTTATAAAACTGAGTGTTTCAATCTTTTTAAGTTAAATTTGGACTGCACTTACAAAAAAAGTACTTCTGATTCCCAGAGATCATAAAGAAGCAGGGTGAAGGAGTCCCAGACTTAGTCCACGTGATGCGTACGTTAGCAACTGAGAGCATCCCAAACCTCCCGCCGGGAGGTGAATTGGCGAGCAAGTGAGTTCACATCGCTGTACATGTGGTTTTTGATTTACATCAAGACTTAACTGTAAGGCCACTCTTAAAAGTGGGGGGGAGGGAAGAAGGGTACTGGACAAAAGGTGATGATCTGTTCTCCAGTTTTTATTAATTGGTTTTTCTGAATGAAAAGGACGAGCATAAGGACACAGTTAACTGTGAATCACTACTAAAATTAAACATCCTGGAAAGAACTGAGGGGGTTTTAAGGGTGGCCTGAGTGTGTCTGTGTTTTGTAATTAACTGGGTTTTCTGGGTGGGAGGTTGGTTACATTTGACAATGCAAAAATAATGCACTGCCTTTAGTAGTTACTTGGATATGTAGTTCTGCACTTTGACGGGAAGTGATGTGCGTATGTTTTGCTTGGCAGCTTTCTTTCCCTGTCTGTAGCTAAAGCAATGTTGTAATGGCTTAAAAGTTTGCTGTTGTGTCCCTCTGCTTGTGACCAATCTGAAAACTATAGATAGAAGCCTATCAAAAAGGAAAAGTGGGAAATTAAATTTACATCTTTACATAGGCTTTGTCCTTGCAGAGTTCATTGTTGATGCTCTGTGGCTTCTCAAATTGCTGTTCAGTCTTTAAGGAAGCGATGCGCTTAGCTCCTTTGCACACCAAACCAAGTACTTTTTGGTTCAAAAGGTTGTTTGTGAACCTGTGCTGTGTTAAAATGGATTGGGTACATATGGTACAGACCATATTTTTAACCCTTCAGAGGATGATTTTTGTATTGTTGCACCAAACCATGAAGACTCTAGGTATGTAACTGAATAAATTATAACTGAGCTGTAAAGATGATTTTTACAAAACAAAATTGTTCTTACATGAACTGTTTGACCAAGAGAAGAAAAAATGGCAACTTTATGTACAATAGCAGCATTTGTTCAGGATGAGTTGCTGTAGTCTTGAGGTATTGATGAGTCAGTTACTCATGAAATGTGCCATACAAATGGATTTTTCTGAGTCTCCTTTGGCTAACAGTAGCATCACGGTTGCAAGGAAGTGCTGAAGTGACTGACTTCTGTGGGATTTTGTGTCTGTGATGCTAGTTTGAATAGGGATTGATAGAAGTATGGATTTAATTGGATGTTAGCGTAACTCAAATCACTACTGCCAATTTTAAGGTAAATAATGCTTTTCAAGAAACCTGCCTTTATTTTGAATCAAATACCTTTATTTAGAATCAAATATACCAATTTCTTGAAAGATAAGATAAGCTTTCCTGTTCATTCATGCAATGTACTTTGTGTGTAATTCCTTGTTTTTATGGCTTTAAATTCAGCCTCTTCTTCCATGCCCTAAAATCATCCACTAGATTCACTATGGTGTTTATACTGCTGCGTGGTGGTTCCTCACTTTTCAGCATCATGGGATGTTTATGAACTCTATCATCTGCTTTTTTTTCTCCCAACACACTCCTTTGTGGTTGCTCTGCATGCATTCATGAGCAGTTAAAAGGCTGTTCTTCACAGTTTGTTTTGTGTGGCAGTTGTGGTCTGCTGCTTCATCATTCTTGGTGCTGTAGAAGGGGATCTGGAAGAAAGTTGCTTTTCAAGTCCAGTCTATAATTCCTGTCTTTTACTGCCCTCTTTCCTCCCCACTCCCCCTCCAAAGTGGTTTCCTTATATTTTGGGTAAGGCAAAGGCTTCCTCTTCCTTCAGCCTCACTTTTTTTTGAGTATCAATTTTCAAGAAAACCTTTTCACCCTGTGGAAAACAAAAAAACCCAAACAAAAAAGCCTAAACAAACAAACAAAACCCCCCCAAACCCCACATGTTGCTCATTTACTTGTTGTTTACAGTTTTTCTATTAATATTTTATCAACATATTTCCTATCAATATTTCTATTAATATTAGAAAAGCCAGGAATCCCAGAGACTAAAATTAATTATGAGCTATCTTAAATATACTAAGCAGTTGGTTTTTTAAAGGATGAAACTGTCAGTATGCTTGAATTAGTTTTTTACCATTTTTCACCAGACAAAATTCTTCTCAGTCCGGAGATACAATACATAGAAACTGCTATATGCAGTTTAATTTGTTTTTTAGAGAAGCTGCAGGAAAATATTGGACATATTTTTGAAAGAGAGTATTGCTTCAGGAATATTTTTTCCAGGTTTACACATGGAAAGTACTTTTCAGAGTGTAACATGAACAAAAATGTACTTCAGAATGCGGTTTTTGTGCATCCTGAAAATAAAAAACCACTATTCTCCCGTGAAAGTACCGTGAGGTACGTGAGTACATGAAGTACATGAGGTACTACTGCAGTGTTCAGCAGACACACAAATGACCAGGTGTTCAACCTCCATCAAGTTTTCTGATGCCCTTTTTCACAGTCAAGAGACATGGCACCAAGCAGCATCGCAGCCTCATTTGAATGTCAGATTGTGTCTTCTTCTGCTGACCTCTGCTGTTCTTTTTCTTGAACCTGAAGGTTTTAAAGGATACGATAGCCATGTTCAATATTTAATGACACTTAGTGCTAGCTTGCAGTAAACTTGGTTCTGTGAATTTTAAACCTTTTAAAGTTTGCCTTTTAAATTAAAATTGTGCTTATGGAATTTGACTTTAAAAAAAAAAGACATACAAACCTTAAAATCTTGTGGGTTTTTTTTTTGCTCTAGACGGAGTGTAATTGAAGCTGTTTATAACAGACTGAACCCCTACAGGAATGATGATACTGTAAGTATCCTTTTCTCTTATATTATCTCCTTTCCTTCCCCCCCTCCCCCCCCATTATTTTAGCTGTTTAGTAAAGAAACATATTGCTGGTTCTTCTTAAAAGACCCCAAAAAAACCCCATAGCAGTGTTGTGCTCTTTGGACTGTTTTGTAGTTGTTTTCTGCTGCCTTTTGCTGATCATTGTCTCAAAACTCTGATATGGTTGATTCTTTTGTCTTCTGGATATTTTCCCCAAATATCAAGAAGAAAAAGGCTGAACTTGTAGGTTAAACAGATTTGTAACTCTCAGCTTTAAGTATATATTAGTTTTCCAAATGACTGTGTAAGCACTTTTAATGTTGAACATGGAGCATCTTACAGCAAGCATATAGTCTGGGTTCTTACATGTCAGTGATCAGAGTGACACGAATCCACTGTCAGAGGAGGGGGGGAAACTCCAAAACTTTAAAATACAGTGATCCCAGTTGCAGTTTGATCACTGGAAACAACATTGATTGACTTTAATTAATCTTTTACCTGTCAGCAAAAATCACTTACATGTTTAGATATGATATAACTGGAATGCATCCAGACATAAAGAATTGTGCATTGCCTTTACAACTGGTTGCTAGTTTATCTGGCAGTTCTCTTTACATCTAGAGCATAAAAATTCCTAAATAGTGGCTGAAAGAAGATGCTTTACCTTCGAAATACATCCTATAGTATGTTACTGTTCTCCAAATGTACAGTACATAAACGTCTTTTTGTGATGATGTTGGCAGCTTGGATACAGAAATTTGCATGCTGAATAGTTGGCGTGCAGCTCCTGTGTTTTTACTCACTACTGCTTTTGTTCTTCATCCTTACACTTGAAACAAACTCAGACATTTTGGTTTTTAATATAATTGCTCTCCTTTGCTACTTCTGGTCTTGAAGAAAAAACTGGAGGTGGTACTTCTGCAAAGGTTAATTTTAGTGATTTTGTGTTGGTTTTGGGGGTTTGTTTTTTTTACTACACCTCCGTGCCAACTGTTGTGCTTTATGGTTTGTAATGAATTCTGTGTACAAGTTTGAATGAAGGGTGCAGAATTTTAGTGCTAAGGAATTGTCATATGTGGTGTTGCTGGAGAATTAATTAGCCTCCCTTCTCTTGAAGGGAACAGTAAGGCAGGGCTTTTAAAGAGAAGCAGTATTCCAACCTCCTGCAGTCTTAGTAACGATAGGGAAGTGTAGCTGTGGAAGGAAGCACCAGCATACACTGTTGTTAAAACCCATCATGGCCTGTAATTACTTATGGGAAGGTAACAGGTAGTGCTGGAACAACCAAAGATTGCCGTGCAGAAGCAGTTTGTTCTGATGCCTGTGCTACCAACTTGGGTGTTGCTTCAGCTACTGAGCCGTGGTCCCACTTCTTAGTCGTGGTGTTAACTGATATACCCAGCTGATGAGGCAGTTAGAGAAAGCTGAATATAGGACAATGTAAGCAAGGGAAAAAGAAACAACCATGATACAGAGGCAAATGAATTAAAAAACACTAGAATTATATATTTTCTTTGTAGTAGGATTTATTTTTTTAACTGATAGCAAGAATCAGTTAATTGTTTTTCAGGGGTGTGGTAATTACACAAAATCCTCTGTTGCCTGTGGGCCTAAATGAACCAAATTTGAGGGATACTCCGGTACTGGAGTAATGCCTGGTTGTAATGCCATGTACTGTGGCCATACAGTTATGATTTCAAGCACAGCATGTCTCTGCTTCATACTTTTTTCTTACATACTTTTTTTTTTTTTCTCCTTGAGGTTTTATTACCATCCAAAATTAGGGTTTCCTGCTGTTGCCCAAACTACACTTCTCTAACCTTAAATTATAAGTGTTTAAATTGATCTGAATTATAACAGGGTGTCAGTTCATTAATATATCTTCCTGTGCGGTGAGGGAGGGCTAAGAGCACAAAAGATGACAATAACAAATGGCGTGAGGCACATCCTGCTCTTCTCACACACCTGTGTAGTAAGTGTAGGTGTTCTGTATTTCTCACTACTCTGGGAATGCTTTTGAATATTGTTCCTAGGATATTATTTTGAGGATTGGTAAGGCTATTATAAAACACTTGGTCAGATTTTGAAATGTCTTAGAACGAATGCTTCATTAATTAAGCATATGTAGTTTTTACACACTTCTTAAATGCTATTTCTAAAAGGGCAGAGAAAACAGATTCCTACAATGGTTTTTAAGTCTTTACCCTTTTCAGTCTGGATTATCCAGAAACTGCTGTAACTATGGGCACTCCAGACTTTAAAGGGTTCCTTCTTTTTTCTTCAAGGATTCTGCCTCAACTGATGATATGTGGTAAAACTGCTCATCTGGCTGTGGAGTTCACGTTTCATCCTTCAAATGAAAGTGCAGCCCAACCTCAGTGACCCTTCTTAACGTCCATCCTCAACCTTAATTAAAGAAGGGAATATGATGTGTGGGTGAGAGTGACTACAGCAGTACAACATCTAGCCCAGGAACTGATTTTTTTTGTAAAACAGACTTCTGTACACGTGATTTCCAACCATAATTCATGTTGTAAATCAGACTCCAGCAATTTATGTTGTATGATTTTGTTTTTGTAAAGTGCAATTGTCTTTGTACAAAATGCTCATATTTAATTATGAACTGCTTTAAATCACTATAAAGGTTAGAAGAAATGTTTGGCTTGTGTGATGCAACAATATATATCCCTTTAAATTCATGTTGTGGTTTTGGATTGCAAGGAGCAGCAGCCTAGCCAGCTAGGTGCTCAAGAGGTGCACAATATAAAGATAACTTTTTGTTTTATATGAAAGCAGAACTTGTGGGCAACTTACCAGAAATTCCAGTGTGTGAATTTGCTTGGCAATGGAAAAAAAAAAACCCCAAAACTAAAAGTAGTGCACATTCTTCTACAAACGTATCTCGTTTTCTTGGACGCCCTCCTGCTCTCACATTGAGTTAAAGGGAGTTCTGATTGTGACTTCAGTGGGAGTTAAATCATGCCCTATTAATAGTATCATGTTCATACTCGTACAAACCTTGGGATTAGAATGCCTTGATTCTTTGCACCTCTTTTTTTTTTTTTCATTAACCCTTACCTGAAACTACTAATCACTGAGCACGAACAAGCAGCTTTCTACATACAAGTAGGAGTCTGCAGCATTTTTACAATCCTGATTGGCTGGGTCTGCTGCTGTTCCAAGTACAGTACTTTGAATTCCATTTTATCAATAAAGCTTGATTTAACAAACAATAAATTTATCCATAAATGTGTAATTCCTTTTTTCCTGCCTTTTAAAATGTCAGTGCCATTGTAAATGATATTTTACTTGTGGAAGAATATTTTTATTAATTGGTAGCCCATTTTTAAAATGGGAAGGATTTTGATTATTGCCCAAGACATAGCCATATGCTAGAGGATGATGTGGGATTAATCTGTTACCCTATTTTTTACAAGTGTGGGTTTTTTCAGGCTTTTTGTGTTGGTTTTGTTTTCTCCCCACTGAAAATGTGCATTGGTTTGAATTTGCCTACTGTTTGATAAAAATACATTTGTCAAAGCCTGACAATCTTTAACATTTTATGGTGTGTGTTTTTAATTGACCCACTTACTTAGAATGAGAGACTAGTGGTTAAACAGTACTTGTGATTTGAGATATAGCATGTTGACAATATTTAACTGTTTGTTGTTTAAAATTCTAATTTAAAATTTTATAAGATAAACTAATTTGATTTAAGCTTAGCTTTTTCCCATTGAACATACAAAAATTAAGTTTTCAAGTCAGTCGTGTTTGCAAAACTGCTGTTTTGTGCACCTTGTATTGTCTTTTTTGGTTGAGAATTTTGTATTTAATATGTAGTTTACTCATTTAGTAGGCAGATTCCCCAAAAGGAAAATCAGTAAAACAAGTAGATTGTAACATTTACTGCAGTTAAACAGAATCAAAACTTGGTGTATAATTACTTTTTGATAGGAAAAATGTAGTACAATGCATTTTGCTATATTTGTATTTCCCTAACTTTGAAATATACCTATTTGTATATATAGCCTTAAAACTAATGCAGAGTTAGGGAACACTGAACAGTGAAAAAGTAACTTATAGTGTCTTGGAACTAAGTATAGTATATACCAGCAAACTTTTCTTTTATCCCTCTTGTTTATGTGGGGTGCTTAAACGTAACTTCATTGTATTCAGTTTGTAATCTGTTCAAGCATGAATGAAGAAAACATAAGCACTATTTGTATTTATAAATTTATAGCAACTTTTGCTTAAAGAACCAGTTCCTTACCTACCTATGAATAAATGCTTAAAATGTCTAATTTTGTTGTAGAGTGCAAAACTATAATAATGTTAAGTTATAGCTTCACAGGCACCTAATTAACAAGCATATTTAATAATACATGGTGTATTCGTGCAAAAAGCTAAACTTAATTTAGGACGAGGCAGACACAGTTCTGTCCTTTTTCATAGAGACTAAAGTTTAGTTTTGGAAACTGCAGAACCTTGAACTGGACTCTGGAACCTTTGAGTTTTAAACTTTAAAAATCGGAAGCAAAACTGTGGTGTGAAAAGCCATACTTCATAATAACTTAAACTGTCTCAGTGACAAATGATATATACGAAGCCTCTTCTTAGGAGGTCTCCTAAAGGTTAGAAATAAAATAATTCTGCTGTTGCTACAGGTGATGTGACTAGGTTTGAGGGTAGCAGAAGAAAGCCTGTTTCAGGCCTTTCTCCTGCTTATCTTCAGCATTTTGATGAGGTCAGAGCACTGAATCTAATATGTATGCATAAACACTGCCATTTTAGATACAGCTGTTGATTACAGAATACACAAATTAAGTATATAAAGCATCATAGAAAAGAGGCAAGCTGTACTTTTCACTGCTCTGAAAAGAAAAAGGCACTTTTTGCACCTTTGTGCATCTCCTTCTTGCACCAGAAACTTTTTTTTTTTTTTTAAATGCTAAAAACATTAGCACCTCAGGGGCAAGGCAGCAATTTTATTTTTTAAGTATTGTGTGCTATTTATTTTCCTCTTGGAAAAAGATTCCTGTGTGACAAAAATGAAAATTGTGTGATGTTAAAAGTTGTATTTTTAAATACATGTTCAAATAGAATGGTCCCAATTTGCTTGTTTTTAAAAAGAAATTACATTTGTAAAGCTACTTTGCTTCGTTTACGATGCAATTTTGTTTTCCTTCTACATTTGACGGCTTCACTGGCTTCAGTTTCTGTGAGTTTTGTTACAGTCAGATTAAATGTTTCAATGATCGTTCTGGGAGAATACCTGTACTGCTTTATAAACAACTGTTTCAAATCATTCTCACTAATTCAGCATTGAAATATGTTCAAGACAGAGGCTTCTAAAATGTGTTGTAAAACCAGTGTTGGATCAACTTAATGCAGCTACATGAAGCAGGGACCTTAGATTTGCAAGGCTTACAAATCTGTTGTATCAACAGAATGCCCGGTACACGTGGTGGGGCAGAAATCTGCAGGTCCCATGTGAGTTGTGAAGCCAGGACCTTTTACCTGGCTTGCTCTCACCTAGCCAGGAAGCAGCACCACAGATACCTTGATACACAACCATCATTCAGCTTAGTCTTCCAGCAGAAGTCAGGGAGAGAAACTTCATCTGCTTGTCCTTAAACTACACGGAATTGTGGTAATCCCAGGTTGTGTCATACTAGCAAAATGCCTGCTGAATATTAAGTAGCCGATGAGTAATGGCAGCACTTACCTTGATGGTTCATGCAGGTGCCAAAGCTAATAATTTTAACATGTACTTGGGATAAACTGACTTCAGTATCCATTAAATTGTTTGTTGTAAAGCTGGTACTGTCTCAACTGTATTGGTTAAAATCTGAACCATTTTGCTTAGTTCAAGAATTGGAATCTTAAAGTGATTTAACAAAATTAGGGAACAGTTTTCACTTCAATTGATTCCCTGATAAGAATCTTAATTTGTTACATTATACATACATCCCTCTCCTGGGATAGGATAGACTTCCTATTGCATTTCACTTTTTAGTCATTTATGAACTAAGGATACGGTTTCCTGATCAGCTCATATCAAGACTGAACTATTGCTCTAAGTTTGCCCCTGCTCCCTTTTTTGTGCCAGCAGTCATGCTTATGTTAGTCATGCAGTTAGGAGGAAAAAAAGAAAATAAATCCATACTCTTCAGCTGGGTAAGTTGTTGTACCAGCACCCCATAACTGGATTTAGGGCAAGATGCAGAGTGGGGAGACAAGACTGAGAGCAAAGGAACGGTTGCACCGCCCCTCCTGTCACAGATGGGGAAACCACACCCTAAACAGATAAATGATTGACCTGAGGAGGGAGTTTGGAAGCCTTTGCAGGTTTTTCTCCACTCTATACTGAAGACAAACATTTTGCTTTGGTAAACATTCTTTTTTTAAAACTGGGATCATGAGAAGTTGGTTTTAATATTGTCGTGTGTATGAGTTCCATGCTGATGAACTTATTTTCTGTTGGCTTTCTCTAGAATTACATAGCTCTGTCCTTTGGGATAGACACACAATTAGGTTAATGATACGGTTGTTACCTTATTTCGATGTACGTCAGGATTTCATCATGCTGAGATGTTCACCTTCATCTCTACCTGCACCTTCTTGAATTGCTTTTATGCGCAAATGACCTAATATATTTAAATTTCTTGGTATTTAAACTCGGCTATGTCTGTCAAGGGCTAAGCTCTTGTGAAATGTTACCCATTTCCTCATCCTTTGACAAATGCAGTATTTTAATACAAACCTGATGTACCTTGCATAGGTTCAGAAGCAGCAAAACTGTGTAGAGCTATAGAGCTGTATCTGACAGTTTCCTGAAGAAAACTGAATTGTTACTCTGTGCCAGGCTTCATGAGGTGTAAAAACAGCATCTCCTAGATAACTAGTCTAGCTCCTCGTTCTGCAGCTATGTGTGTTTGAGAGAATCATAACCCAAGCCTTTACCAATACAGGGTGTAAAGTCTCCATTTGGCTGGATAGATATATTTTTTTTAACTCTTTAAAGTGGTAAGAAGGCTCCACACATGAATTTCTAGGATGCTGTAGTGCATAAAATGAATACAATTCCTGCAAAAAACCTGCTGTAAGCTCTAAAAATGGAGCAGATTTTAAAAGTAACAATCTGGGGCTAAGTACTTTGAGTAACGTGTCTGTGAAATCCTGCTCAGAGCATCCGATCTTTTGGTGAGCTCTTCCCGAGCTGTCTCTGTGGAGTGTTTGCATGGTCTGTGGGTCTCTGCAGACTGAGGTGTGCACCTTCTGAACCTCTTTGTAGCCTTATTTTGCTTAATAACGTTGCTTTGTAAATGAGGTAGCAGTCACCTGGGCTGTGGCATTTGTTCACAGAAGCTCAAGAAGCTGCAGGAAGACTTGAAAGATTTTGTTTGTTCTCACAGGCTATTAAATGCTTTCCAGTAAAAAAAAAATATATATATATATACAGTGTGCTAAAAGTTGAGTTTGCATTATCTCCCACCGAAAACTTGTTTCCAGAAAAATCTACAAATATTTCTACTATTTACTTAATACATGAAAAAATGTCTGGAGCTTTAATCTCTTGATTGTGGACCTATTCCTTGCTTTATCTGTGCTTTTAAGTCATGTTCTTTTTGAGTAGCAGTAAACCAGATCTTCCCCGCCTGCCATGTAGACGCTCTAGAATAAAGACTTTCCTTCCAAGCTAAGAGAACAGGTGCGATCACCATGTCTTAGGAAAGGGGTTTGGGGGAGGCTTGCTGTAAACACAAGAGCAACAACAAATCCCCTTGAACCACAAAATTTAAGAAAGTGGGCTTAACTTTAAAAATGCCTTTTATAGAATTAATGAAATAGTTCTACTCTAAAAGGGTCAGAACTCCAGTAGAAGTGAGACAACAGGTCAGATTTCTAGAGTATATACTCTTTTATGCCTAGTCAGATTTTTATGCTTAACTTGCATCAATTCCTGCCCAAATGCTTTTTAAAATATCACTAGACATCTACCTTTTTCTTCCCCCCCCCCAAAAAAAAAAAGAGAAAAATAAAGCCAATAGTACTTACTACAGTGTAACCAGACACAGGGTGAGTGCTGTGTCAGGTAGTAATATTTTCCTCTAAGAGCACTACATCTGCACTTCTCAGCTCGCTCAATAAATTGAACCAAAACTGAAATTCATTTTTGCTTCCATTAACTGGATGGCTCTGAAGAGCTGGTGGGAGCGCAGGGGCTTTTTTACGTCTAAGGAAGACAAGACTCTCAATCCATATTGTGAGTGAGCCTCCAGAGTTGAAGGAGGTGCCATTGTTGTTTCTTTTGTGAAATATCTTTGAGAAGAAAAATGAGAAAACTGAGACTGGCGGGTCATAAAGCATGACTTATTTTTACTTCTATCAATGTCTATAGACTAAGGTCCAGAGTTTAATTTCACTTGCGTTACTGAATTCAACCCAGTCTGAGCAATGGGGATATTGAGTAGCTGATGTCATTTTCACTGTGGAGATTTCAGGCTGAAGCACAGTATTTTTGTTCAAAGTACAGGGGAAGATTAAATGAAGAGAATTTGGGAAAATCAGGCACATACTTCACTTTATATCCTGCTGACTTTGATGGAGCTTCACTCCAAATATATAAAGATTGTATGTGTGTTGTTGGAGTCTTAACTGTCCCACTTTTCTTGGAATTAAAAAGAAATGTCATTTTATTCAGTTTTGGTTTTGAAAAAGCTTTTCAAAGCCAAAGGGAAGAAGTTGGTGATGTTAAAGCAAAATGTTAGATTAATTGGTGAGAACGATTTCATAATTTTTTAAACATGTAAGTCAGCATTTTTTTCTTTTAAAACATCAGAAGGGCACAGTTTAAGATGTTTGGTCTTTGATGTAGTGTGCTCAGCTGTTAAATAAAAGGGTGAAACACAAAATGAGTTACCTGGGATGGAAAAACAATGAGACCCTAAAAATCTAGGAATAAATGTGCTGAATTTACACAGCATTATTTCCATGTCCAGTGATGGACCTACTGAAATAATCATTTGTCGGTGTTTTTAGAAGACCTTTTTATTCTTGCTGAATTTTTGATGCTAGACTGGCAAGTCTGGTGCAGTTTGAAAATTCCAGACTCTTAAATTGGAAACTGGGCGTTACACAAGAGAGTCCCCAGTACATGGGATGCTGCTGTACCTGTTGCCACACGTTCTGCGGGTTCGTCCCGTGCTGATGTTTGATGCTGGAAGTTGGGATTTCCTAGCATATGTTTTATTGCTGGTGGTGTGATTCGCAATGACCTTGAGTACCAAGAGTTAAGTTGTATTTATTAACCAGACCTAACTCTTTGGTGCCAGGAATCGAGTTTTTAGAAGAAGTGCTGAATTATGCAAATACTCTTGGCAAGTTGTGCCAGG